GTATATATACTCTACACTTTATACTTGATCAAAGAGGTCAGATGTAGAGTATATATACCATTTTTAGGGATTTGCCGGTGAGTTTTCTTGACTTATTAGTTTGAATTTTGTTGTGACGAGGTTACCTCGCTCTGATGATATCCGTCATATGACGGACGAAAGCTTAGCACCTTTTCACCGGAATCGAAGGAGATTGTCTCGGAAACAGCGTCAGCATGAATCTTCCAGTAAAGCCAATCGACACCTGGTCAAGAGGAATCCGCCGTCGTCTTCTGGTGGAACCGACCTTCGAATCTCTTCGCCCAACACTTCCACTCGAAATGGAAGTAAGCACAACAATGGGAATGAGAGCCTGGGAGCTGAGAAGATAAGGCGACTTTGTACGTGCTACTGAAGGCTTCCCCAATAGCAGTTGGAGTAAAAGTACGCTGGGCTGGATCCGAGTTAAATAACGGACCTATGGACCCATAAGGCAGATCCGGACAGGAGACTAGAGCAGGATCAGCCACATGAAGGGAAAGACAGCAAGGAAAGCAGCAGGTGTGATGACGCTACGGAAAATTCGACAAAACGGCACATCTCTTGTGGAATGTAAACATGTCAGAAGTTGTGATAGGACGAGGGTGACACTAGAGGGTATGAAAGGGATTGATGGACAAGAACAAAATGAGTAGTGGTAGCGTAACCGTCTCGACAAAAAGTTGGTCGAGGAATTGACCTCATTTGTCTCTTTGACGAGTTGTAGGTTGGTCTGCTGAGAACGGCAAGACTCACTGATGATGCCGACTACGATGCCGGTGAAACGTCTGGGAACGTACCAAGTCCATGGTCCAACTCTGGAAATGGTCATGAATACATTGAACTCCGGACAAGGTGTGTTCCTCTAAGTCTTCCTACCAATATGACCAAGTTGCGAAACCAAGGCCAAACAACTTCTATACAACGAAAGGAGACCGCGACCATACCTGAGACCACACAATACTGGTCTTCATACCTTCGAAAAATTATCGAATCTGCCCTTACCGTGCTGCCAAAGTACAAAATAATCCTCCTTATGCCCATATAATATTTTGGTGTCGATTTTACCTCTTCCGTGAAAAGTTCCTCAACTGTTGACATGTAATTATTCATTAAAATGGAATCCAAATAAGATCCTACTGCCAGTATTTGCACCAGTTCATAAAACTTATCGTAAAGGTGAAGTATTCGCTACTTATACACAGATTAAGTAGCCCATAGATTGAGTTTCTGCTCATCTTCACTAACCCTTTAACTCGAAATGAACTTGGGACAAACATAATCGTTTAATCCTTGTTTAAAACTCGAAAGAAATTGAGGATATCAAACCACCGTTCAAAAGAAGACGACTCAACTTGTCAGATGAGTGATGGTCCTAACTACATTCATACTCTTTCAACAGGCTCTTTAAGCTTATTAAACAAAATATACTCACGAGATTATGAAATCCCAGTCACACTTTTTCTTGGGTCATTAAACCTTAGTAACTCAGGACTAACGAGCTATGACTGGTAGCTTCGTAACCCGACACACACATACAGGCATACATCCCATCAATTCAACCGTAGTCACTTACGGACTTACGCAATCTTGGTCATGTTTTCACTGGTTCATTAAGCCTTGATGACCAAGTGTTGCGTATAGACTGTTACATACGTACGCACAGAAAGACACACTCGAGTCTAAGAGAACTAACCAAACCATTTTGTAGACATCTGTAACTAACTATTTTCCCCATTTAGTCCTCTTCACTTGGTGTTAATGTGAGACTTTAGCAGGAATGAATTCCAGCTCTGGTGATGTCTGTCATATGACGAACGAACTCTCAGCCTGATTTCACTCAAAACGAGAGAACCTTTCTCATGGACTGCGGCAAAGTTGGCACTGCAAAAAAGCCAAACGACCGCAGCACATCGTAATTCTGCCTTCGTCTTCTGGTGAGATCGACCTACAAATATCTTTATCATGTGCGTTTATACAAAATAAAAATCTCCACAGCAATATTACCTCGAAAGGTTCAACTAAACCCATTTTTATTTGTATTAATAAGTAAGCAAAATATTTTTCTTAATTTTTCACTGTACATTAAATTTTGGATGGAGACGATCCATAGGTCGATCGAACTATAAGTTTAAGGAAAATTGCCTCTGTAGTACCATAGGTTTTCGCGGAGGAAATTTCAAGTTGAGCCTAGCTGCACCTTTTCCTTTGGTCCCGAGAGGTTTATTGCGATCTTTCACCTGTCAGTCCTTTCGGCCTGACACAAGTTGTCTATCCAAGAAGTTATTCTCCAAAAGACTGCAGGAAAGAAGCTCTGCTTTAATCTAAATTTTAACTTTGATGATAAACCCATTGTTTTAATCTGTTTTCCCATTTAAGTAATAGTAATCAGAAATGAGGGGGAGATATCAATGCATATGTTTATCATAAGACTAGCCTACAATAGGTCTCATCCTTTGTTATCTTGCAATGTCAGACTTAAGGTTATATCTATGTAATTATTTCGAACGAATTTCATCGCTATGGACTTGCAAATCTCTAGATTTGACTCAGAAGTTCGGCCCTCTTTCTTTTCTTTATTATATTTTTTATCCGAGAATAAAACATAATCATCTACCGGGGTATACATGCATGATTTGAATCGTTATTAATCTTGCTATTTTCATCGATAACGGGGAAAAAGCTGAGGTGAAGACCTTTCTATTTGATGTTTTTGGCCGATTCAAACTTATTAAAGCACAAGTCTTTACATGCCTTCTTGGGATCTGCTATCTTCTAAAATATGAGTCCCAAAATCTCCTGACGCAAGCTGCATAAGAACCTGGTGTAGAAAGATAATATTAGGGAAGGCTTGGACGAATAGCTTATCAGTGTATCTTTGGTTAGTGTTTTATGACCCCGGGGCGCCGCGGCGCACAGTTTGGGAACCACTGGTTTAAGTTATTAATAAGGCCGTAGTAGAACGGCGAAACACCTTTTTAGGTTTTGCCATTGAATTTACGACATTTTAATTTGTCTCGAGGTAGAGAGCATCTGGCTTTGCAGACATATTTCAATTGAGCTTATAAGGATGGCTTATGATATTGAAGAAGGGCTTCTTGGGTAAAAAATGGTGTAAGATTCATTATAAAAACCAACTGCCTTTGCAGAATCCCTAAATAGATTGATTCCAGCATACCTTTTATTTTGCTCGAAAAGGACTGTGAGCCGAGGTCTTCTTAACACAATTCAGCAATTAAACTTCCAAGGCAACCTCCTTCGGCTGTCGGTGACGCTAACATCAAACTCTTTTCTTGCCTTTATCATGTGCAGTTGGCAATCTAGATCTGGAAAATTATATGAGTGGAGCTTGAGAAATGAATGAATGCTATAAGGATCTATTGCCATGCGCCCTTATTTCTTTCCCTATTTGCTGGGAGAACACAAATTTGCAACCTACAAAGGGGACATAGGTTTCTCTATTTGCGACGAATCATGCATGTGAACGTACACTCACTAGTATACGCCTGCAGAGACATATAGCTATAATAGACGTCCCACTTTGTTGCAGGGAAAAGCTTTCAATCAAATGATAATTAAGTCAATCAAACAGAAACTCATTCAGTCAATCATCCTTCACCTAGTCAGCAGGGCTAACCAATAACTTTGACTTGCAACTGGCGAAAATTCCCCTCTTGTTAGCGAGCATTTGTTCTGCTTTTATCTTAACTCTTTGATGGGCACTTAACATCTCAATATGCCGTGAATGTCCTCTTTCTATTGTCCAGGGTAACTTGTATATATATATATATATATATGTATGTATATATTAGTTCTGCTGGGCAATATTATATATATGTATATATAAGATGTGAGAGGGAATGTATTATCATAGTGGGAGGATAAACTAAAATAGACAGGGTCATAAAAATAAATTTTGGTGTATGGGCTTTTGCTGAGACCACAATGTTGAGTTTAACAATTGGTCTATGCTTTTTTGCTAAATCTACATTGTTAGGTATTGTCTAAATGTGGCTGTCGATGTGGCTCAAAGTAGGTCGAAACTGGGGTCAAATTAGGATAAGAAATTGATTTTGGCATAGAATTTGTAGTGTGAATAGATACAACTTGACTTTGATTTTCGTTGGATATGGAAATCAAATTAGTAAAGAATTGGGGGGGGGCCATTTAGATCGATTCTGTAGTTCATCATGACAACCAAGGTACGGTTATCTGCCAACAGGTTTCTTTTTTTCATGGTCTACTAGCTCTTAGGCAAGTTCTGTATTTAATCAAGTGCGATTGAAATGTTTCGTTTTTACCTTGTATTTAGTCAATGCAATACATTTTGTACCATTCTGTATCAGTTATTCATCATTTGTCAAAGTTTATCTTTCCGCACGCCCATGATTTGAGTTCAACGTAGTCAGAATACAGTACATACTCCGCTAAAAATCCAGTCTAGCCCTTATTCAAGTTCATTTTTTGAATTCGGACTCTCTGTTACCCAGAATGGCAAACTTTCAGCATCACTGGTTGCCGGATATTTTGAGCAGCCCACAGGGATTGCAATTCTTCTCAGTTTTACCTTCTTGTCAGCCGGGGTCTATCTTACTTGTGTCTCCATAGGCCTCAAAGTAGAGTATATATCTCCAAGCGCAAAGTTTTATGACTCGAGTATCTCCCGTCTATTAGTAAGGATCGTTATGTGCTGCCATTACTGTCACTTCGTTTAGCATGTTCACACACTTGTCTTGTTTGGAACGAGTAGTTGAAGCACTACACGTTTTCTACGAAGACCACAGTAAGATAATCTCTTAGAAGCCTGGCTCTGGATAAAATAAATCTTGGAATGCATCGGATAACGTGTACAGGAGACCCAAGTTCATTGTCACATCACAACCGAGCCCATCGACCATCCCTCTTTCAAATGATTTAGTGCCCCCGATCATTTATACCTTTTGGCCGTTTTCCTTTGAACTCGATATTCGATTCATCTACCAATGCTGTGTGAGATCACAGTAAGCAAATGGAGAAAGTGCCATTATGATAAAACCCTGATTTCTCTAACCGTCCACTTAAACCCAAGACTTATGATGGTACTAATCAGGCCGGTGTTACCCTTGTGTTACGCACCGGTCTGCAAAACTGCCAGCAGCGGACAGGCCTGAAGAGGGAAAGTGAGCAGAGCAATGCCCTCATGGAGCCCGCCATCTTGTCCTTTTCTGGGTTTAAAAGGCGTTCTGCAGCGTATGAAGGGGCCAAGCTTCGAAATGAGCCAATCAAAGCAGCCCACGAGATTCACACTGACTCATGGGTCAACAATGCGTGCTTAGATGAGCTTTTTGGTCAGCTAGTTTGACGACTAAATTGACCAATCAGCAGTGGACTTATTTTTAACCAATTAGCGCACAGTCAGTAAGTGGACTTCTGCCTTTGAGGCAGAATGCTGTATTCGCACGGATGCTACGTTTTAACTTTGACGCTGTTACCTCGGCTTACGCATAGAATGCGACAGTACTTGCAACCGGACCTTGTAAGTGCACCAAACACTATTGTCAGTTTATAATACTTTTCTCCCATCCTCCTGGCAGAAGTGAGCGTGGGTTTTTAAGTTATCGCGACGTACTGTTGTGGCTTATATACGAAAAATAAGTACTGTGGCTTGTCATGGCTTATTATGACCTATTCCTCAAAACAGGCATGAGTTACTTTAGGCTTCTTTCTACATTATAATTGATTAAGTAGATGCGTAGTGCTTGTTTGTGTGTACAGTGATGAGAGAAAGGTGAGCTTTTTCCTGAATCTATTACCCATATTTTGCAAGACTGTATCAAACGGACGTCATTTTGTCTCGGTTTGTGAGCGATTTAGGTTGGCCTCAGGTTCTTATACACAATCTATGAATAGTTTATACATTTACTCCTTCACTTAACTTGGTAGACCCTTGAAGTGCGAGGGAGCCAGTTTTTCTACTGCTTATCTCATTCTAAAGTAAGGTACGTTCCCAGAAGAAATGGACGAAGATTGGATGATGGTGCAAAGGGACTTTCTATTTCGAAGGAAAACTTGGTTGGGAGGAATTCACGAGATGGTTTCACTGGAAACCGAAGAAGGATTGCTGCGGAGTGAAGACTGTTGGATTGGGTAAACCCGTGTCAAGCTAGCGTCTGTACTGTGACACACTATCAGAGCAGGAATCCCTACTTTACGAAATAGCGCAAAAATAACCAAGAGAAAATGTGGTCTCGTATAGTTTGGGGCTGATTCGTAAAATATGGATTCTTGCCGAGACCGTACAGAAGAAAGTCTAGCACATGTTCATCGGGGTCGCAGGACAATGAGTTGATGACTCATTCGCACAATCCAACAATCTTCACGCCGCGGTTTCTGGTGCTAGTATTCCACGAATTCCTTCCAGCTAACTTTTCCTTAGAACTGGAAGGTCATGTCACAATCAATCACTAAGGTATTCTCCGGAACTCAGTTTTTTCTCATGTATTAGAAAGTAGGGAATTGATTGACACTTATTAGTACCTCTGAAATATACTACAATTTGTCACATGTTGATTAAGTTTACTATTTCTTGTCAGGCAGCATTTATTATCTCCCAAGAATAGCATCGCTGTAAACTTGTTTATTAGTCTTTGGCTAGCTCACAGGCCTAAAATACTGTATCAAAAAACAGCATGGCATGACAATCTGTGTTCATTTTTGCAATTGGATACCACGTCCAATTAGGCTAAGTAGCTGTTTAATAAACGCTATTTCTCTGT